ACCCAAAATATTAAATATTACATTATTAAATGTTAACGGTCATACAGCTGGTGTTTATGTGACCTTTTCTTGGGGGAAATAAAATACACAATGTTGACTTTGAGTCAAAAAACAAAGCAGAAACATTGTCTTGGTAAATATATTTTATTGATGAAAGCATATTTACATTTTCTTTTTGCCAATTTTACCTCTTAAACCAGGTAATCGTTCACTTTAATGCATCTTTTAAAAAACAAAGGAAAAATAAGAGAAAACTCCCATTATGTACATTAATTCACATTCAAAGAAGCAGTTCGTTACATTTGTTTGCTATACATATAAACACATTACAGTGGCCAAAGAGATTTATTGTTAGAAACAAATGTTATGATCACACTTCGTTATTAGGACTCCTACATATATAATAATACAATGTATTGATTTGCACCAAATAAGCCTTGAAAAGATAATTTAACATGGTAGCAGATTCAGATTTAATAAAGAGTCAAACATAAAAATAGATTTGTTAAATGTAAACTAACATTTTATTAACCATACTCCCAGAGAACTTAAAATGTTTTTCCCACTACTTGAACTCGTGTATTAATTCAAAATATTTACATTTCGCACACCTTTCTGACTAATGGGCCAACACTTTTAAATATAGAAATGGGTCAACACTAATTTGAATWTAATTTATTAATACAAAACAAAAACAACAAATTTGACAGGTGAATAAGCTTCAAACTTTACAGAAGTGCAAAATAAAATGTACTCCGAGACCCAAATTGTGCCTTAAACCCGATTTAGCTGGAGTGTCGGTCGGTCGCTCTAAAGCTTTTGTTTTGGAGTTAAAACCTTTTTCGCTTTACTACATTCAAAAAGTTATTTAGGGGCGGAGTTCAGACCAGATCTCAAAGCCCTTAGCTTTAAAAGTTTAATCTAAATGTATATAAAAACATCTAATTCTGATAATGCTACAGGATAAAGTGTGCGATGTAAGAACAAGATGGCAGCACTTTGGTGTCAGTTTTGTTGTTAAAAAAAAGGCTTGAAAGTCTSTCTCCTGAACAAATGCTTCTCATCACATTAAAAAACAAACATAAAAAATAAAAAACTTTACATTTACACCCTCCTCCTCCTACTGAAGAGACCCCGAGGCAGACCCAGAACTAGCTGGAGGGATTTTACATCCCATCGGACCTGGAAACCTTGGAGCCCCCCAGAGGAGACGGAGGTCTGGTTTCCCTCCTGAACCTGCTGCCTCCTCCACCCGACTACAGATAACAGGAAATGAGTTGGAGACATTCACACCCAACGTTGCTTCCACAGACCATCTTTTCAAAATAAAAGCCCAGCAGTGGCTCCAACATCTGACTCAGGCCATGTTATACAGAACAATGAATTAGTGGCGTAGGAGTGATAAAAATAAAATGAAACAGGACCCCAACCTAGACGGTTCACAGTGAAATAAACCCGACACTACTGACCTTTCATGCAAGTGCAACAGAGTTTATGAACAACGTTATGAACAGGGAATGTTCAAATGTCTGTGAGGTAAATTACTAATAAACATAAAAAAAGAGAAATCTACATTAAAGTGAAAATCATCCTCAAGTCGAACGGCTATCCAGTGAAATGAAGAGGTAATAAGTAAACAAGACGCTGTTCTACAACTCTGTACCTTCAGAAAAAACAAACACACGGGTCCTCAAGTCAACTTCACAGCGGCGCCCGTATACACTCAGTATGATGGGCAAAAYAAGGACGAGCAGTCAGTGTTTTTGGTGTTCACGTGTTACGTTAGTCTCAAAAACAGCTCTGCCATCGTGTTGCAATTACTTCTTCCCCATCTCCGTCCTCCTGCAGAAAGCAGGTTTTTTATCTGCTTTAAATAAAGTCTTTAACTGGCTCTAACTTTATCTGTGCGAGGAGGGGGCGCTCAGTCTCTGCGTCTCTTACAGTTTTTACTATGAGATATTAAAACAATTATCTGGACATACAGTAAATTGATTTAATGTCATGTCTGAGTTATTAAGAGTACAGCAAAGTAGACCAAAAATAAACATAACCATGTTGTAACAAGTTAACCATCAGCTCTCAACAAATGATGCATAGAGTTGATCTTAGCTTTGTGTTTCATTCAGTTTGTTTTTTTTTTTTGTTTGTTTGTTTTTTGTAGAAATGGACAGTGGAGACTAAAGAATATTAGTCTAGTTATTCTCGTCGCAGACCTCTAGAGGGCCTCCTGCAGTCATCTTCAGAAGTGCTGAGCAGGGTTGATGGGATAGCAGAAATGAGGGGGTGTGTGCCRGCTCTTATTCGGGTAAATTCACAGCAGATATCCCTGGCTTCATCTTGAAGTACTGGTTGAAGCGCAGGACTGCGTATCTTTTGGTAAAAACACAAAGAGAGATGAGGTCAACAATGAGATGCATGTAAAGATCATCAAAACCAGATGAAGGATGAAATGATGAATCCGAAATTTCTCCTCTACTTGTTTGTTAGAGTTAGATGCCAGGATTGGATTTATAATTGTTGATTTAATGAGTTAAAAATCTAACAGAGTGATTTTCAGAGTTAAAACTTACCCCAAGAAGTCAAAATCAATGGTAGAGAACTTGGCCTGAATCAGAGCCCAGAGACCCCAGAAGAAATGAGACGCCTGGACACAGAAAGAAAAAGGGAAAAGTTATAGAGAATGCACAGTCATTGTCTTAAACTAAATGTTTCAAATTACTCAACACAAGCTCACAGAGTCCCTACAGCAACAACACACAGTTGACACAAAAACAGTTGCCCATCCTCCACATTGCCTTCGTTTTCTTTTTCACAGCAAATAAAGCAGAATGAGGCMGAGGGAGGAATCACCAAACCTGACGGTGAGCACGTCACAAGAAGGAACCATGTGTTTATGAACAGAATATCCTCTGAAAGATTCACATTTAAATACTGATAAACTTCAAAATGTGACTCTTTATATTCATTTAAACAGTTTTTACCTGGTCTGAAATGAATGAAAACTAGTTTGTTTTATTTTCAGTTTACTGGCAGCCTTCATCCCCTGAAGGCCCAGAAACAAGAGTTTACTCAATGAACAAACAGGTGCAATCTAAGCTTTATTAAAATACCTGTTTGACAACTTCTTCAGATTACTGACACGATAAACCACAACACAATAACGTAATTGTCTTGGCAAAAGCTTAAGTTTTAAACATATCATTTACTTGTCAGCAAATGTGGGTGCATGACGCAACCGTCAGGGGATTCGAACTGGCGGTCTTCCACTGTAACCACTGCGTCACCACTCCCCAGCATCAAACTTTTAAACAGAACAAAAATAGAAACTAGGCCAGCCAATTGAGGTTTTATGAAAAGCGAGTTCTAACTCAGTACTTTCAGAATGACTCATTAAATATTACTTTGTTTTCCTATCGTGGTAACACATTTAAATACTACTCAGTGAAGCAACAGAGAGCTGATGCAGAGGAGCACTGCTGTAGTACTCGACCGGTCTGAAGACCACATTTTGATGGTCTCGGTCTCATCCCGATTGTATCTGTACTAGGTCTCAGACATCGAGGACTCTGGATTTTATTTCAAGCTTCCAGAATATTGTCCTATTTATTTGTTAATATCTTTCCTTTCACTGAATGTAAAACTGATTCAAATCCACATCGTGAATCATTGCTAATTATGTATTTTTATTYCCGTTGTCTCCCATCTCCACCCTTTTCACTTGCATGAGGCATTCCAAGAAAGTGAGCGGTGGTTGTCTGGGAGCGGGAGAAAGTGTCTGTAAAACTACATACAGACTTTTAAACTCTACAGAGCTTCACTTTTAGAGACTACAAACTTTTATGGTTATTTAGAAAGGAAGCACAAAGAAAGGTAAGTCATGTGTAAAGCTAGGTAACTAGCATTAGCAATCTGTCTCTGTACAAACATTGTTTACCCAGCCTTCACACAAACAGATTAGGTCAATATTAGATACATATTAAATTAACTACCTGTGTACAATGTACTGTATRTTTTAGGACACTAGTTGCACATTTTCCCCCACAGTCTTGGTCTTTTTTCAGTCTYGATACACTCTGGTCTTGACGGTAGTCTCAGGCTACTTTCACACCCATATTTTATATTTTTTTAATTCACTTTTTGTCCATATGCATCCCTGAGAACCTGATCTTTAACAACCAAGATATAAAGCTGAATTTCTGAATCGTCTCGTATTTTTTATTAGCTCAATTGAAGGAATGCTGATTTTAAATCAAACACAGGATTTTTCTCAAGTTGGGGCTGTGTTTATTTGTATGTGAGCTCCAGATCAGAAGCTATCAGAGCGTTGATCTGAGCTAATACTTTAGCCACCAACCATACACCCCAGACAGAAAAAAAAAAGTAAAAAAAAAACTGACATGACTGACATGACGTCAAAACGGTCCAATTCATAGAAGTTATTTAAATATACCATGAAGTGAATGACTAAGAAGAAAATAGCCTGATAACATAACGTCATCCGAGTTGCACCCAGTGAAACCAGTTTTGGCGTTTCAGACTCATGCACAGTAGCATGCCCCCTCTCCCCCTCCCCAAGAAACGTTTACGATTTCATGAGAACAAAGATTTGTTAAAAGTTCTTTGTGTTTTTAATATATCTAAATTAAAAACAATTTAAAAACTGCTGTTCCATGAAGTAGGGCTGCCACAAATGATTATTTTTATAATCGATTAATCACAGATTATTTTTTCGATTAGTCGACTAATCAGATCATACGTTAATTGAAATTAAAACATAGAGCTTATCACACCAGAATGAAGCTGCTATTATATAACCATGGTTAGAKTTTAGCTATATGCTAACTAAAAATAATTGCTGTGGAAGGTAAGTTCTGCTCTGCAGATATTACACAGGTTTCTCYTTCATTTTCTTAAAATGATCCCACACTTTGAGCTCTGTTGTCAGGTAGCCATGATACCAGAGCCTGTCTGTATAATGTCTTGTGACGTCCACGGCCTACCCCAGTTACCACTACTGTGCATGTGTGTCAAGGACAGAAAGGCAGATGTGGCAGTGGAAGGTGTCAAAGCAGTTTGGAGAGAAAAACAAAGTAAACAAAAAAAAAAAGATTAATCGCTTATTAAATTAGTCATCGATTATTTTAATAATCGATTAGTCGTCGATTAATCGTGGCAGCCCTACCATGAAGCACGGGTTGTTTAACTGAATCTGAGTGCACCTAAGAAGCTGTCAGGACAATAAGATCAGGACTAAATCCTCACCAGGGCAAACTTGTTGACTTGAACGTAGAGAACCTCCACCTCTCTGTCGGTGACTGCTTCGCCCTGGCCTTTGTGCTCCTTATAGGCCTCCAGGTAGGAGCGGAGCCACTCCAGCTGGAAGGCCCGCTCTGGGTAGTGACTATAGTCCACTTCGTTCAGGCCTGAAAAACAAAATCAGGATTTTAAAACACAAACAACAGAACAAATGATGAACTCTTATTAAGAGAAAAYCTCACCAGCAAACTCGTTGAAGTGATTCCCAATGTCAAAGGCTTGGTAATTGTACCCAGCGTACTCGTAGTCAATGAACTTTACACTGCCTGAAAACAAAATCGCAACGGTTTAGAAAAGTGAAAYAAGATGCACAAATACAATGATTAACTTTGTGCTTCCCTTTGGTAACTCATAATCTCATGGCTCTCCAACATTTAACTGAACTAGCTGGCTAATGAGCTAACTGCACAGGCAAGTAGTAAGAGTTTGTATTTTGATGTTTGAAGACGAGAACATCAGGAGGAATAAAAGCTTTTCATATAAAATGTGTAAATATGGGCACATAGGCCAGTGTAGATGTGTGCTTAAAATAAAAAATAAAATATCATTGTTTTAAGCTTCAATCTTATTTCTAATTGAAATTTTAGAAGGAAAAAAAAAAAGCACAGGTGGAAAGCACAGAGGGAAGAACTAGAAAAGAGAACAGGCATGCAAATTTTCCACAGTTGGGTTATAAAGACTGGGCTGTATTTTCTTTCATTAGGAATACTCAGACACAGACGCACCCAGAAGGCAGCTGGAATACATTACAAATGTAAAATAAAATAAAAAAGAAAATGAAAAAAGGTATGATGCAACACATGGAGCATGTACAGAAATCTCCAGAAAAGACRACAGCTTTCCAGAGGATATTTGTTTTGGAGACATGCACAGTTTTAAGGGAAGGGAAGAGTCAAAGTTCTGTTTTGAAGAGGTGGAAGGAGAATAAAAACAACAAAAAACAGGAAAACATGAGTAAAAAGATAGAGACACCAATGCAGATTTTATAAAAAGACCAATGTGCAGCTAAGACAGCAACATACAAAAGTAATTGAGCACAATCCAATAATAATTCAATATTAATTCATAAAATAAGTTCTGGTTTATTTGATCCGTTTGTGGTTTTAAGTATARAGAAGTTACAAAAGGTGTTGCTGTCTGAGCACATTTAAAACCACGGAGAATGTAAGACGTCTGCATCAACAATGAACAAAGAGGGAGGTGGTTAGTCACGAGCTCAAAATCCAAACCCTTACTTGAACAAGCCCACATTCCCAAGAAAAWTACTTTGGAATAATAATACTTTTAATCCAATTAAGATTAACTCCTGATTCTGGTTTTTAGCTCAGCTCAATTTCTTTGACCTGATATATAAATTAGAGATAATTAAATTTAAAAAAAAAAGAGAAAAATAAAAAAAATGAGGTGTTGCTGGACTACAGAGAAAGACACTTTGAGGTGGGTTACCAGCCGGCGTGTAGGTCCTAGCGGGACAACTGAACACCTCCAGGCAGTGGCTATAGCCCCCCTGTGCAGCAGATGAAAAGATTTGGGCAAACATCTTTCACACATGCTCACTCTCTCAGACACATTTGGCCTCTGTTCATTCTTTCTCCCACGCCCAAGGCCCCTCCCTCTGCAGCGCTCCACTCCCATCGGTCTACTCTCAACCCATGACGCTTCTGCTGCTTTTGCATGTTACATCATCTTTGAAAAGGTTTCCTCGTGACTGAAAATCCAGTTAGCCTAAAGCAGGACCGGCAGAWAACCTAAACCAGCAAGTGAGCGCAGCATTTTTGAAAAGACTTCCAYGTTTTGTTTCTTTTTTATAAAAATAAAAACAGGAAGTGGCAGCTTCTTCACTGTCACATTTATCAGACAAGTGGGTCAGCTTTATTTGTACTGAAAGTGACAGGAAAGCCAGTATCTCACTGGGCTGCGACGGGTGACCCGTCTGCCAGTAAAAAACAGAGGGAAGTGTGATTTTTTTCATCTATGTCTAACAGATTTCTGATCGTCTGCGACAGAACGACCAGCTAGACGTGTAGATTTTCAAGTGGGTAAATTTTAAACTTTTGGCTTTGTTGCCCACTTCCGCCCACATCATTCACATCAAAAACACCCGCACTGACGAGTCTGTGACTCGTGTGTTTACTGTACACACCAGCTGCAGGAGTTTGAATAAAAATAAACAAAACSTAGGTTAATAATTAGGACACCTAAGGGCATCACATGCCTGTGGTTGCTCAACTGGCTGCAGTAAAATGGCCTTTTCTCATTTTTCCATTTCTGTGAACTAAAATGAAGCTCTGTTTTTTTTTTTTTTTTGCAAGTGCAGGAGGCAATTCCAATATTAGCGCAGTTTTAGCACTCCAGATTTACAGAAACTGAAGTGAAAAAGGTTTCAGATGACCATGAAAACTCAGTAACTATTTTAGTGATATTTATCACATTTAATCTGTTTGGAAACTCCCTGCGAATTTAACGACGCAGCGTTAAGAGATACTGGCTGAAGGAGCTCCTCTGACACAAACAAGAGTAAAATCCATTTACCACTAAATAATTCCAGGTTGAAGATGGAGTCTTTGGATTAAATTGTGTGAGAAAATACCTAAATAATCTGGGACTGGGGATTAGCTGCTCCCTTTTTATTTTAAATCAAATAAATACTGAAACTCAACTTTGTATTTTATATAATGAAGCCTGAATCTGCACAACTGTCTTGTTTACGCTGATTTTTTTTTTCCATTACAGATGTACGTTTTAATGTGGGAAYTGAAAGCGGCTCCACTTCGGATGCGGTCAAAAATGACAAAAAGAAACAGGATATGTTCACGTGCTGCAGGTACAGGCAGTACTGCTTTAAGCTGATTTTGCAGGTGAGCCCATGAGCTCTCCAGAGATCTCCGTTACTTAGAAACTGTGTGCTTTGTCAGAAATCTGTTGTTGCAGAATCATGTTTCAGCTTGTAACCATAGGGGTGACGATCTTCTACGTTGTCACGACCAGCGTTCTTTATGAAACGGTCAGAACGGTTTGGACTGTTTTACCTAGTAATTAGCTAAATTTATGGTTTTATAAAATGTAGAATGTGGTTTTAAACAGAATAGTAAATCTGTTAGTTATCAGCTGCAGGTTTAAACAAGAGGCAGTAAAGATTATTTATAGCAGCAGAGAGGAAAATCACAGATCATTAGCTGATAAACTAATGTAACCTAATGGTGTTTTTAAATTCCTGGAATAGCGATGTAGAGTTTATAAGCCTGAAGGACTTAAAGACAAACAGGTCCGATTAGTTCCGTGTTTGTTTTGATATATTTACAACTACTTACTGTCAAGACAAACAGAGTACCACGCCCTGATGTGGACTTCTTCAATGCCAGATTATTTAGCTATGCAACGGTGCTTCAAAGTGGAAAAATCCAAAAGAAGAAATAAGAAACTTAACAGTTTTTATACTGCGTTGGTGCAGCCTGACAAATGATTTGGATCTGAGGAGATCGGGGTTCCTACTGAACTCGTCCAGACTAGCCTGAGCCTGAGCAGAGGGAGGCGGACTACGGGAGGGACCCCCAAAGCTTCCTGTGCGTGAGGTTTGTCTCTCCGTTCCCTCCCCGGAGGGCAGGGCGGCCACAGCCTCCGCTGTCAGTCCTGGGGGAGAAAAGCTAAAACACAAGGAGCTGTGAGAATGGCCTCGCCCCTCTCGTCACAGAGCTGACGAGGGGGTTGACAGCTCTTACACCCTCCCCTTAAAAAGCACCACCCAAAAACACAACCAGCTGTAGCTTTCTACTTTTTAAAGTTTTTCTTTAAAAGGACCAAAAATAAATAAATAAAATAAGTGACCTGAACAGCTTTACCGAGCGCAAAGATCATGGAAAATAGCAGTTGCTCACTGTAAAATTAAACCTGTCTGGTTACAATAACATCGTTACAACCTCCAACACACTTCTTTTATGTTACATGACAGTTTTTGTTCCTAATAATAGTTTTTACTAGGGATGTACCCACATCAAAACCAGTATCATGTATCAGTCCGATACTGTAGGCGTGTACTTATACACGTAAAAGTGTTCCGATACCACTTAAAGCCACTCTCCTTACAAGGATGAGGATTTTTTTATGTGAGTTGTGGAGTAAAAAGGGAAATACACAAATCTGAGCACAAGCTTCCTGATGATCTCTGACATTAATAATTATTAACAAGCCGATGTAACAACACCCAATCAGTTTACACCATTTTGATGAAAAGAGTTTAACGAGGAGAGTGGTTATTGATTCTGACTGATTATTACACCACAGGTCATTGAAGCTAATGCTAGGCTAATGCTTCAAACAGTACTTATTTTCATTGCCTCTAATGGTTTATAAATATAATTACCTCAAACAGATTCAATTTGTAATTTCATTTACTAAATATAGTAAGTGAAATGGCATTTATTAGTATTTGTACTGGTATTCTGTACTGTTAAGTACATGAAAAAAGTGGTATTGGTGCATCCCTAGCTTTAACTACTTTTAGAACAAAATGAGAATGACAGTTCAGATGCGTTAAGCTGCGAACAAAAGTCATCATCACACTGAACAAACTAATGAACACACTCAGTCAGGTAGTTTTAAACATAAAAAAGGGTAAATATCTCTAATTTGTACAAGAATTCAGCCTGGAGTTTTGGTAAAAACAAGCAACTGGACTGCCTGGTTTCTGATGACAGGAAGTAAAGCATGAGTCTACCTCGGACCGAGTCCAGTTTCTTGCATYTAAGCACCAAAACAAAAATCACACTACAGCTCAGTCACACAGTCCTGTGAGTGGCTGCACTCCTGCGGGTCATACTCACCTTCCCCCTGGTTATAGATGATGTTTTTGCACAGRAGATCGTTGTGGCACAGAACTACGGGGGAGCCCAGCACAGACAAGCTCTGCTGGAGCCACACCAGCTCATTTTTGAGCGACTCGAGGCTGGGGACCTCCAGACTGAACCTGGAGGAGGCAGAGAAGAACAACATTTAGAAGTTGGTCTTTCTAGAGGAGAAGTCTACAAACAGTAAACAAACACCAAGTTAAAAACATTTTGATGCAGTTTTGCTTATAAACCTGAGGTCCTGGCATTTCTGTTGTTGCTCTTCAAACATGTGTGCTTCCAACATTGTGTTTATGTTTGACTGGGCRCCAAGTAAATCAGCAGCTGAAGTCAGTTTGTTTTGATTTTTTTTTTTTTTAGTTTAGGTCCCATTACTCAGAAAGGTGAATACTATTGTCAAAACATGTCAAACTGTTGTAGCCAAAAGGCTCAAAACATTTCAGTATGACAAATGTTCATCTTCCACGTGACACACGAAGCCAAAAAATAGTAGTAAATATTTTTGTAATTTGTTGTATCTTTTCAGGATGTCACGGATATTATGGTAATGACTTATTGCAGTGTAGAAGTGYGCCAACAGTACATGTACACTGTGTGAGTACAAGTGATAGTTTTACTTGTTCCAGGATATAAAAACTGATTCAAGATCACACTGTCCTACTCTGAGATACAAGATGTTTACATGTGTCAAAGCTACTGTGATAAGACATTCCTTAAATATCTTACAGTTACACTGCACCGAGTGAAGCTTTATCAAAAACACTTCGGACTGGTTCAAACTTTCTAACTTCCCTCAATCGGGACCTGTAGCTAATTTGACCAAATATAGTAAGTGTTCCTCTCACCTGTCATTCTGCTCAGACTCCTTGAAGCACTTGGAAATGAGGGCTAAGTACTTGCCCATCTTTAGCCACAGGTCAGAGCGGGGAACCCAGCCGTTATGGGCATGGATGGCGTGGTACTTGGCCAGCTGTCTCGCAATAAGCCTGCAGGGCAGAAGAAACCAAGACATATGAAATGATGCTTTTAAACTTGAATTTATGGGAGAAACAAAACAGACAATCCTGCCTTTTTGAGTCTAAAACTTTACTTAGGAATAAAAGACATTTCACTGTTTCCAAATATAACTGAGAACTGCTTTAACAGTACCAGTACATACGGGTTTACCGGGGAATAGCACAAAACCTAAACACCTGTTTTAGTATATTCTATAAAAGATGCCTGAACCACTCATTCAATATTCTCACTGTCTATTTCTCCAGTTTGAATATAATTTTACTTCTAACATAAATATTTCACTCAGGTTTACTCGGGGTTCCTAGAGTTTCTAAAAAGTAGAACAGTTTATGTCCATTAGGCTGAGACCCTGTCTACTTTTCAGACCAGACTTGATTTTCCTTTTTAATAAATCCTATAGTTAGTATTGGTTTGGGTTTCCTGAGCTATCCTTTAGTTCTGCTGCTTTAGCATTAAGGGCTCGACACACGGGAGGCGACGTCGCTCGCTCTCCATTCATTTCTTGTGGAGCCTGTGCGGTGAGGCGACAATCGCTTGCCCTCCTCCTCAGGCTAAGCGACCGGCGAAAAAAGTGCGTGTGAAATTTTGCGCTCGTACACGTAGACGTGCACACGCGAGCATGCGACGCGACATATGAAAGTTGAAAAATGTTCAACTTTTGTCGCTGTCGCTTAGCGTACAACCAATCAGCGAGGGTTTCACTGACTGACCAATGAGAGGAGAGTATGCTACACACTGCGGTTAGCTAACACTTTCACCAAGTGATTACTAAAAAGCTTTGTGGGAATTTATTGGCACCAGGGTGAAGTTTATGGTAAGTTTTTCCTCATAAAACTGTATCTTGATGTGTGTTTGTTTTTCAATATCATTAGCATCGCAAGATTTGTTTAGTTTACACATCCGTAATGCACACCCGCCTTCAGAGTCAAGAACAAATCAAATTTTGTGAAGACAAGCAACCTGAGAGCGCGATTCACAACGCTGCGATCGCTATCGYGTCCCGTGTGTCGGGTTTCACCCTGGCTGCGATGACAGCCGTTAATCGCTGTAGTTTGTCGCTCCCCGTGTGTCGAGCCCTTTAGTCTGCCGGAGGACAATCTGACCACATTTCCTCACTCTGCCGCCTTCTTTACACGCTCTACTCTCCTTGTACGCATTTGTCATTACTTCCATCATTGAACTGTGCCAAAAACTACACCAGGACCAGTCATTCTGCGTTTCTCTCCATCCGTTTCCTGTCCTCTCTAACCCCTGTCAGCTGAGGCAGATGGCCGCCCATCCTGAGCCCGGTTCTGCTGGAGGGTTCTTCCTGTTCACTTGTCACAAGCACTCAAAATCTTAAGAGTGGATTGAAAAATTCACCGAGTTGCCAACTAGAGAGATGCTACCTTAAGTGAAAGTAYGTGTTTGATGACAGAGCAACATTGAAATCCTTAATTTGTACAGAAATGCTCAGCATGTCAACAAAACATCCTGGATTTTCTCTTTTTTTTTTACCTAAAAACAGGATGGCTGCGAATGTGCTCCGGCTCCAGCGCGGTTCCTTGCAGGAATTCGTAGCAGAGGCCGTTGTTGAAGGTGCAGTAAAGGCGGGGGGCGCAGCGGTGCGCGTGCAGCACTCTGAAGCTCTTCACCTCGTTTTCCCTGTCGACCAGCAGCTCCGTTTTGTTGCCGTAAATCCGGACCAGGACCACGTCTTGCATGACCGCGCCCACGTAGCAGCCGAAGAGCTTGTTGGTGATTCCGTCTGTGAAAAACTGAAAGTTCCCCCAGAAAGGAAAAACAATTTAGCCACAAAGCGATTGCGCAATAAAGTCCAGGGACAGTTTGTTTTCAAGTCAGGTGCCACATACCAGCTTTAACTACTCACTAACTGGGACTGACTGGGGCAAACAAGAATGTGAGGGATTTTATCTGTCATCAGGAGGCAATGATTGACATCTGCTGAAGCCCCACTTTGCCTCAAATGAGTAAAAACCAGGGCAGGAAGGCATGATCCCCCCTCATTCCTCATTCCTGGCTGTGTTTACAAAGCAGAGCCACACCTCCAGTTGTATCACCACAGGAAAAGACCACTAAAAAATATCTCTCCAAAGCATGTAAAACTGCCCCCACCGCGTTTGCTAATGTTTATGTCAAGAATACAAATAACTATTTGACTCTGGGCACTTATAGGCTTCGATTAACTCAATTATGCAAAATATAAATGCAAATAGCCATATTTCTTCACGAAGTTAAAGCCAATATAACATAAACACTCAATTTCTTATAACAAGGTCGCATTAGATACCTCATTAAGAGCTAGTAAATTTGAAATAATGTTACAAAACAGGWTTAAATAAGCAATTTCACTAACAATGATGATCACAGACTAAAAAGTTAAGAGAAACGCGACGATTTGATCTTTTTTCTGACGCAGATACAAAATATTACCTTCAAAATTAAAAATTAATAAGCTACGCTTCTYTAGGTCTTTCGTCTTCTGGGATTTTTGTCTAAAATGTATTTAAAGATTAAAAACGCTAATTTAAACCCACTTTAACGCGCCCGTCGTCCCTTTTCTTTGCCTGGAATTACATTTATCACATTAAGCTAGTTTCGTCTGACGTCCGCTCGCGACACTTGGAGTGCACCTTGCTAGCTTTAGCATCGGTTTTCGCCATTTTTTAAACGACGATTTTAAATGTCAAATTGAACGAAAATGATATGTAACKCGCAGGGAAACGTAGAAACGAGCCGTACGAGGCGCGGTGGGGATATAAAAATATTAAAAAGCCCTACCTTGACTTTGATTTCAGACGGTTTCCAGCTCGGTCTCAGCTCTTTCATTAGCTGAAGCGCACCGGGTCTGTAGTCTCGCTCGTCAACCGTTACGTCTATTTTGGGGACGGCGGGAGCCTCGTCCGGGACGTGGATATAATTAGCCATGGATACAGCAGTTGCTTCTTGGAGCGATTTCACACACAGCGACTCGAAGCGAAGCGACTGGAAGATGCGCGGCGTATGTAAATACGTGAGGAGGTTCTGGGATATATAACTGCTCGTGAAGAAGCAGTGTGCAGCGGCAACGCCTCTCAAAAAGTCCCGCCCACCTGGCCTGATGAGGTCGTGCGGTCAAATGACTCATCGACGCTGCTTGTTTTTATGGACGGCGTATACCGGCCAGGCGGAGCTTGTTCTGTATGCATGTCATCTCAAGGTTCCCCTCAGCCGTCGGTGGTCTTCGGTGCATAAATCCAAACGTACACTTCACAGCAGGGGTACGCCTTTACGTCACATCCGTAATGWATGAAGCTTTACTTCTGCTACTTCCGCCACTCTGAACTGAATAAAATTACACTCACAAATCTTTAACACCCATGACTCAGCATTTAAAGATTACAAGGTATTAAGTCAGAACTATGAGATAGTATCTCATTATATTGTGCTTTTTTTTATTACTGTCAGSGTATATTAAATACAGTACCTTCATTTATATCCATTATCATACTATTTTTGCTTAGCATCCAGAGRTCAATAAAATATATAATACACTATACTCTACACACATATATACTTGATTAGATACAGTATTCTATACTGTATTATCTTCTCATAACTATGAAAGTATCTCTACATGAATTATTACCTTATGCATTACATATGCATTTTATAAAATGTTGATGCAAATGTCCATATTTGAACGCAAGAAAATGAAAAATATACTTTTTTTCCTCSTGTCTGTCATTTTGCATGAGCTTATTTAAAGAAACATATTTTTGAATTCCCATTTACTCCTAAAACTGAGTCATAAATTGTGTGTTTTTAAGAGCCGTTCATCCAAGCAGACCTCTGCTTCTTTAAGCATTTCAAACAACTGGAAAAAAAAAACTTGTAAATTTCCAAACTTATCTGACTCTTGTTACTTATTAAACTAAAATCTCTTCGCACACTAGGTTCTGGAGCGCATGCCAGGTCCAAATAGTTTCTAAAATGTCACATCTCAAGGACAATGTGTGGGAAAGAAATGAAGCCATTCTGTTCTTTTTTTTTCTGTTAAACCAGCAGAATATTTCAATGCAACACATTCGTGCAACGACTCATTTTCCTGCTGCTTTAAAGTCATTCTTTAGATTGTAAAGATGCTAGCTGTAGTGGCAGGTCAGCTCTTTAGCAGTAAAACGCGCAGAACGAGACAAACCTGGTTTCTTAAAAAATTAGAAACACAACCATCCCACCCTCCATTCTCTGCAAAATCTGGGATTTTAGTTTTACTTGTTGACTCAAACCTTAAAGTTTTCATCTGTCCACACAGACCAGGACGAGCTGCCCTCTCATTCTATCATTTAGTATTTATAAATAACTTCCCATTAAACCCAGAGTGCATGAAATACCGACCTGTCAATCAGAACCGCCACAGGCAATTTTGGGAGGATCATCTCTGGGTAAATCTTTCTGCTTAAACAGTTCTTTATCTTTTCTTTTCAACAGTGGATTTAAAGAAAACAGCCCGAAGCTGCAACAACCGGAGCRGCTGTAGTTTATGTAATGCTTACGACAGCAAAGCAAAACAACTAAGATTATTTTTTTTAAAGTACAGCTAAGAACGTCTTGTTCTTGTGAAGTAAAAATGTGCTTATACATGAAAAATTGGTCTTTATTTACTATTCTCATTAAAATACCTGGTTTTATTAATACCCTACAAGCTGGAAATGAAACCAAACTTCAGGGAGTTTAGATCATTAACGTGAAAAACGTTCATGCTCACATCCAGCTGCTGAGATTTTTAACGAGCTGAAGTGCAGTAAAACAATAAAATGACAAATATGTATTGATTTGCTTCATTCCAGCARCAAGTTGTTATAAAAATAATTTATTTTTAATAAAAAGCAGCACATGTTTTCTCTCTTCTGAAAAAAAATAAGCTTCAGTAAGTTCAAACGATGCGTTTCATCTTCTGTACTTAATCAAAGTAGTCCTCGATGTCCACGTCGGGGTTGAGCAGCTCCACTCCGTACGGACTCAGGTCCATCCGGTTCAGGATCAGGTTCTCGAAGGTCTCCTCCAGGTCTGTATCTCCGATCAGCACGGCGCCCACCATCCTGCCTCCGCTGAGGACCACCTGCACAGAAAAACCAGAAGCGTTCAGGTTTGAAACCTTACYGTACGGTTGAACACATTTCTCCTTTTAACTGGATTTTTTTTAATCATTTTTTGGATGTTTTTGACACCAAAATACAAACATTTACTGCATCTGAACACTGGATGGATCATGAGCAGAAAATTATGTTTCTGAAAACAAAAAGCTGTATTAACTTTAGGTTCAAGTGTTTTTTGTTTGTTTGTTTGTTTTTTGATTTGATTTRATTTATTGATTTAACAGGAAAATATTACTAAAAATTACAACATCTGAGGTTCATTATGGGTAAAGCTTACAACATTTAGGAAGTCCTTTACTACTTTTAGGTTCTATCTAGCCTTTTGCACACATGTCAACTTGTACAGATTGTCATAAATTATAAGAATTTTACATAATTTTGCAGGTTTACGGACGTATACAGCAAGCTCAGATTTTTTCCAAGTCTTATGGATTTTTTTCAAAACCTCATTTTCAAATTTATCTAACATGTCAGAGCCTGTAGGCTGATTTAAAA